ATGTAGTCAATTAATGTTGCACCATTATTTGTGCTTCTTGTAGGCTCACTAATTGCGTGTTTAGACCATTATTGTAAAACATAGATTTTATTTTTGTAGAATAGAAGCTATTATAAATCAAAATGTATTTAAAATATTGAAAAAGGCTGAAAAAATTTAAGTTTTAGAACTAGGAGGGGAACGGCATATCAAACCTACCAATGATACTAGATTTCTTGTTAGGATCAGTCCCTTTTGATTATGTTATCTTCTTAACGATCGCTCTCCATTTTTTCTTGTCTCTTGTTTTCCCTGCTATTCTCTTAATCCTGCGTTTTGTAAGTCTTCTCCAACTTCTTGCAACCACTTTGATCCTGGTCTCCCCCTTTTTCTTTTTCCTCCTGGATTCCGTTCTGTCATCGCTTGTGTCGCTGTTTTATCTCTTGTTCACCAGATGTGACCTAGTCATCTAGTTCTGCATTACTTTTTTTTGTCACGATATTATCTTTCAATACTTTCCTTATATCTGTATTTTTTCTGCTTCTATATTCATTTTTTATCTATTTTGATTGGTCTCAGTATAAACTATTGTGTTGGTCTGAATTCGGCCTTATAAAATGTATATGCTACATTATACCGACTTGTATAGACATGACGTATTACAGATTGACTCTTCATTTTATGTTAGGCGCTTCTTTTATCAACAAATAATAAGAATAATTATATAGCAATCGCCTTTATTAAGTTATTACTCAATAGGTGACTCAAAGAAAAATCGAGAAATAAATGATTTTTTACTCCCAAACCAAAAGTGACGAAGGAGTGAAAGCTCACCACAATTAAACAATACCGAAATGGATAGTGTCAGTATAAAGGATGAAATAAAATCAATTATTGAAGAGCTGCTCTACAAAACATTAGATCCAGTAAAAAAGAAATTGGAAAATGTATTGATTAAGGGTGATGTAGATGGATGATGAGTCAGAACATCCAGTCATTGAAAGCAGAAAACCATCAATTAACACTGAAAGTTTAGAGGCTAAAGTATCTGAAATATCTGACGAGTTAGAAAAGGAGGGTCACAGTTGGGGACATACGCTAGAGGTTCAAGAAGGAAGACAAATAAGAAAGAACCTAATCTTTAGAGGTGTTCGTCATTCAGATAGGGAGTCTTACGCTCCAGTAATCTCAAATTTCTGGAAAAACTTCCAAACTTTTGTAAAAACTTCCAAACCTCCAAAGCCAATTGGACCTCTTATAATTCATGTGCTGTGGAATAGCGATATTTGTAAACTTTTTGTAGAGACCAAGAAATTAAGAGCCACTAAAATTTGCATTGACAGGAACGACTACAAAGAATTGCGGAAGAAGATATCGAGACCGAGTGCCATTATAAAAAGAATAATAAAAAGAAGAATGCACTGAAACTGAAACTAGTCTTCGATTCGTTATTAGTGGAGTCCATTAAGAACACTTGGGACTGGAGAGATGGATTAAAGTGAGGAAAGGATAATGGTATGAATCGTTTGAAGATGGACTGGAACATTGATTTAAATTTCTTGTTTAATACTTCGGGTAATAATGGTGGTCAAGCAGACGTGATGGATTATTCAGAGAACATTAATAAGGAAAGTCCTAATAGCCAGTCGAGGTAAAAAGGGCAGGATTGTAGAACCAGGTTTGATAGAGAGTGTGGAAGATGATACCTTGGATTAGGAACGTGAAATGGTTATTGGTATAGAAAGAATTCAGAGCATTCTATAAAACAGTTAACATCACCACAAAAGAATTCAAGCAACCACAAGTCAATGCAGAAGTGAGAACGGCGACCTATTAACAAGGAAAGATATATTGAATAGATGGGTGGAATACTTTAACCAGGCACTTAATATAGAGGAAAAAGATGAAAACCTGGAAGACGAAAGAGATGAGATAAGGGGAATAGACGAGAAGGAAGAGGAACCACCAACGATTCTTGAAGTTAAAGATGCAATTAAAAACTAGCTAGAAACAAATCACTCGAAATAGATAATCTCCCAGCTAAACTATAAAAAAGATATATAGTTTATACTATAATGGCCACGATACCATAATGGCGTTGCGACAGCTTATAAAAGAAATATGGACACAGAAAGCCCTCCCCAATGATTGGAATATTGAAGTACTTTGTACCATACACAAAAAAGGAGATATCTTTGAATGCTCTAACCACAGAGGAATTACGCTTCTAAATGCAGCGTATAAAATATTTTCCACAGTATTATGACACCGTATAGTAGGAAAATACCAGGCTGGTTTCAGAGGTGGTAAATCGACAATTCATCAAGTTTCAACCCTGAGACAAATTCTAGAAAAATCACTGGAATATGGTATAGATACTCATCACATATTTATAGACTACAAAGCAGCCTACAACGCTGTGAATAGAAGAGAAATGTTCTAAGCAATGAAAGAGCTAGGAATACCAGATCGGTTGATAAATTTAACAAAACTAACTCTTGAAAAAGTTGAATGTAGAGTACGAATTCAGGCGGAACTGTCTGAACCTTTTAAAACAACTAACGGGCTGCACTAGGGAGACACCGTTTAATCTGTATATGGAAAAAGTAATACGTATGTCACAAATCACAACCGTTGGTTCAATATAATAAATCAGTGCAAATCTTTGCCTATGCTGATAATATCAATAATGTTGGGAGAACGGAAAACGCTGTACGAGAGGCGTATGTAGCATTAAAAGAATCAGCTATAAAAATGGGTGTTATAGCTGAAAATGCTCAACATAACGAGTTTAAAATCAACACTTAATCAAACAGGATTTGTAAAATATGTAAGTAACTTTGAAATATTTATTTTATGTGAAACGCATGCAGAAACTATATTTAGTGATAAGTCTTCAATAATAGGTATAAGTTATATACACAGGCAGCTGTGAGATTTTCCAGTTTTGGTAAAGCGATTTAGGGTGGTTGCGTGGTGTTGCTCATAAACTAAAACATAGGTTTATAGTCTTTATAGTGTCTTTATAGTGTTAAAAATAGGTGATGACAAAGTAAGCATTATTCCAGTGTATCTGATGTCTAGATAGTACTGAAAGGAGTGTTTTGAAAAAGTTGAAAGGTATTATGTAGAAAATTTAGATCACAATGTTGAAAACAGTTTAGTTTTAGATGATTTTAATGCACAGTTGGGAGTGGACACAGTTCTAGCCGATGAGGGGTAACACTGAGGGAACGGGGATTTTCTAAAGACAAGTTGATTGATAATAATGGGCAAATGGTAATAGGTAATAGGGCTATGTGACGACTTTGATTTGGATATTTTGAATTGTAGATAAAACGAAGATATGCGGCAAGTAGGTATACATTTTTTGGGCCGCTGGGCAGCTCTGTCATAGATTTTGCATGTGTATCAAGATCAATTTGGAATATAATAATTTAGCAATTTTAATAAGTAGTTATGACAAAAAAGTTTGTAATTTTAAGAACGCTTCAACCCTCTTTACAGTAAAAACAATAAGTTATAATTACAACTATCATGTTGTGAAACCTACTGCTATTTTCAAAGTTTTTGTACATTGTATCCAACAAATACTTTTTTGTATACAAAATATAAAATAATAGACCAGCATTTCTGTGTTTGATTGATCTAAAGAAAGCGTTTGACAGAGTAAGACTCAAATATGTTATCCATCTTCTGTATAATAGAGGAGTTCACCTAAATATTATAAAAACTATCTAAAACATCTACCAAAATAACAAAATGGAAGTCAGAATAGATGGACAACTTACAGACAACTTATAGAAATAGGCAGCGGAATAAGACAAGGGGATTCATTGAGCCCCATGCTCTTCAATTTGATCATGGACGAAATCATCAAAACCGTTAACAAAGCAAGAGGACACAGAATGGGAAACAAAGAAATCAAAATACTCTGTTACGCAGACGACACAATAGTAATAGTCCAAGATGAAGATAGTCTGCAAAGACTGGTCTATAGATTTAAGATAACAGCAAAAGAATTTAATATGACAATTTCATCTCAGAAAACTAAAACAATAGTAGTCAGCAAAGAACCTACCAGATGTAAAATAGAAATTGGTGGCATCAGTGTTGAACAATTAATGGAAATAAAATACCTGGGAAATAAACTGTCTAGCTATGGAGACTTGGACAAAGAAGTGAGAGATCAAGTACAAAAAGCAAGTAGACTGACAAAGTGCCTTAATAACACTATATGGCCAAACAGACACATTAACACTGAGATTAAGTCAAGAATTTATAAAGCCAGTGTAAGACCAATAATGACATATGCATCAGAAACAAGACCCGACACAGATGCAACCAAAGGCTACTGGAAACGGCAGAGATAAGAGTACGGAGAAGAATTACAGCAAATACGCTGAGAAATCGGAAGAGAAGTGAAAACATTAGAAGAAAATGTAACGCACATTGTATAAATGAATGGATACAAAATAGAAAAAAAGAATGTAATAACCACATAAGCAGAATGGAGGAGACCCGTGTCGTCAAAATAGCAAGAGATAAGTCACCAATCGGTAGAAGAAGTATCCGACGACTGCGCTAAAGATGGAGTGACGACCTTCCATAGAGGTATTAATCCGCCAATGAACAAGCAGAATTGCTTATAAAGAGGAAGAAGAAGAAGGAAATATAAAATGAGTGTGATAAATCAATTTGTCTTCAGATTTTTAGGGTTAAAACTGTTACAAACAAATAAAAATAATAATTCATATGAACACCTCAGAATTTTCCCAAAAGTACGCCCATCAGAATCTTAAAAACGATTAAAATAAGCAGCTATTGAATAAGGTTCAGCTATTGTTACATTTCCTTAATATCTGTGGGCACATGTAAAAGTCTTAAATGAACGTTTTTAGCAGCAAACTCTATTCAAATACATATTTTGTTTGAATCTTCCGTGCTGTAACTTTCCTGAAAATTTTTATGTACTGCTTTGTCTCGATTGCGAAAAGATTATAATTTTGTTTTTGTTTCAGACTCAGCATTCTCTGAACAAATTACTAGAATGGGAGAATAGCTATTTGTATAATAAGCTAGGACTGCATTGGAGATTAAGTAAACAACATTGTGATTCATCGTCAATGATGGAATATGTAATACTTATAGAGTTTTTACCGAAAATTCCTATTTATAGACCAGACTAACACTGATTTCATTATTATATCTGATCTATCAAGGGCTCAAATCGCTAGGACTCTTCTTTTTTAACTAATGTTTTGTGCTATTACGGCATCAGCGGTAATGAAGCATCGATCCATTGTGAACTAGCATTCGCTATATAAAAGAATCTCAAGTGGATCAATAGTTTATGTTAGAAAAATTGTTTTGAGAATTTGTAACATTTTGATTATTATCTTGTTGTATATTGTTATTCCATGAATTTGTTTGAGGTATTGTTGGTTACATTGTTATACTTTTAATTTTTTTAACCGATACAGTACACAAGTTTCTTTGTATGGCATTCTGCGAAAACTTACACGCAATACGCAAACAAAATCAGTTGTAGGTCAAGGATTAATCTGTTGTCTACAATCGCGGGTGTTTATAAGCTTTGGTGTAGATTATTGAAATAATAAATAATCTTTCTGATATTCGTCGCAGGTGCGGTGATATTCTAACTAATTATCTGTGTTGCCAAAGTGTTTTTACACGAAATAAGTATTGTATATGAAATTTATTAGATCTTGTTGATTATTGTTAATTATTGTGTCTTCAATTTTGTTTTTAATCGTAACAGAGTTAACGAATATTAAAATGTTTAAGAATAATCGTTGCAGTTTACTAGTTTGAGAAATTTTAATTTAACCAATATTTAGATGTCTAATATTATATTTTGCATCAGATATTCCAGTTCCTAAATTTGGCTTTTTAATTCAGTTCAAAACATATGTAAACTACACTGCTCAACAATTGAAGTGGATATTAGAAAAATTGTTAGTTACGTGTGTCACAGTTGTTAGACACAGACTTTATTTATAGACCATGTTTGGCGATTAAGAGAAGCAAAAAATATACTTTTCAATCAAATAAGAATATAAAATAATTTAAAAATTCAAGAAAAGTCATAACAAAATTATTTTATTGACACGTTTATAAGCAATTTAATACATTGTAAGACCGCCTCTGGTCTTTCTTTATGCTGTTACTTTCTTTGGGAATGTCATTATTAAGTTATCAATAAAATGTTGGTGTAATATTTCCCAAATTGTATGCAGTTATTAAGCTAATTGTTGTAGTTTGAGTTGGCTATAGGAATCAGTTTAAACGTCTGGACATTTCCGCCCAAACGTGTTCGATACAATTCATTTCTGAGAATGAATATGACAGAGAGGAGAATATGACACTATTGTAATTCCATGATAATCTATCCACTCGCTTACAATTCTCGCGCAGTGAGAACGGGAATTATCGTCCAAATCAGTAACCTATAGTACCAGCAAATGGCACTGTTATGGCTCTATGATTGTCACGATATCTGTCAGCCGTCGTTGTTTCATTAATTAAAATTAAGTCAGTGCGTTCATTAAAACATGCTTCATAGACACAAATTGATTCGCCTCCAAAAAGAGTGTTTGAACCCATGAAATGTTTATTATATTGTTGTCCTTTTTCTCTCCAGACCAATATTCTTCCGTCAGAAGAATATAGTGGAATCATGATTGGCCAGAAAAGACGCAATGCCTCCGGTCTTGAAAGCCTCATTTTCTATGTTCCATCTTCCATTGACATCTGCGAGCACGTCACTCCGTTGTCAACCATGGGTGTGTAGCATGTCTTCTTGCTCTCAAATGACATGCATGCAACCGTCTTCTCAGAGTTTGTGGCTCTTTCGTGTCCTACCTCTTATGTATGTGATGCAATTCTGTCTCTAAATAGCGATCCCATTTCTGAAATAACTTTTCTAAAAAATCTATTCGTTTTCGAGATATGTTTAGTTGTTTATAAAAATTCTTAAATGTTTATAAATTTGGCAGAGCCAGAACTTTTTTCTTAAAAAAGGTAGAGATCTAATTCTAAACGGATTCTCTTCTTGGTCGATTATATTTTTAAGTAGTAATAAAAACATTTGCTCAAAAAAAATTTCAACCCCTTATTTATTGCTTTGAAGTAGAGGCGACTTTTGCGTTATAAATTGATTAAGCTACAGCGTTAATTAAGCTATACATTACACACAATTTTAACATGATTCTTACAGCTGAAGTCAAGACAAAGATTTAAAAAAAGTTTTCTACGACAAAAAGAAGTGGAGTCTAGAGTGAAGCTTAATTTCTAGTCAAAAAACATCAGCAAAGTTGCTTAATTACGCTGGCAAAAAAACCTGGAAAATGTCAGCAGCCATATTTACGAACTGCCTAAGATCAACATGCATACTAAACCACTGGAATACAGGAAACATAATTCTCATGCATACGGAAGGTAACAAAGAGGATATCAAAACCTACAAATCTATAAGTCTACTACCAATCATATACAAGATATTCACAAACATCATCAACAACAGATTAACAAATGCATTAGATGTTGCAAAGTCAAGAGAACAACCTGGCTTCAGAAGTGGATTCAGTGCCATGGATCATATCCATACCGTTCGAGAACTAATGAGTAGAGCTAAAGAATATGAAATACCGCTAGCATTAACTTTCATAGATTTCGAGAAGGCTTTCTATTCTATATATCCCAAGGCAGTAATAGAAGCTTTGACCAATCAAGGCATTGACAAACCATACGTATAGACTTTAGCAAATATATACAGGCAAGCAAAAGGTAAGGAAAAAATTATGAAAACACTCCAGTATTTCCCACTACCAGAGGCATCCGACAGCAAGACGGTATATCACCAAAGCTCTTCACTGAAACCCTAGCCATCTAAGATTTGCAGAAGACATCGTTCTAATTGCTAATAATCCTGCAGAACTGCAAGAACTTATAAGCGACCTAAGTGCAGCTCTGACTCCAACCCTTTATTATTTACCTCTTGAACTACATTCTTTCCAACGACCCCTCATACGTCACGATCTAACCACTTGTTCTCCAGCTGAACGACGTCAGAGTGGAAGTGGAGGGGGGAGGCCAACCTCCCCAACCTCTACTACAATTTAAACAAATTAAGCTAACTCCACTTTGATAGGTCATAGAAAACTTTTTTTAATATTTGTCTTGACTTCAGCTATAAGAATCAAAAAGTTAAAAATTTGTGTAGTATATAGGGAGCGCTGTATCTTAATTAATTTATAGCGCAAAAGTCGCCCCTACTTCCAAGCAATAAATGAGGGGTTGAAAAATGTTTTTAGGAAATATTTTTATTCCTATATAAAAATATAATCGACCAAGAAGAGAATCCATTAAGAATATATCTATATCTGTTTTTATTCTGGCCGTGCAAAATTTATACATTTTGCTAACGTATAAAACATTTAAGAATTTTTATAAACAATTCAACGTATCTCGAAAAGGAATTGATCGATCGGATCATACAAAGTCTCAATCGACTTACAACATATTGCTTTTTGCATAAAAAATAATTTTTACAAAAGTTATTTCCAATATTAAAAATGACAAAAAATTGACATTTTTGGACATTCAATCGTTAATTTTGCGTAAACTGTTGGGGCAAATTTAATTTGGCACTGCTCTTACTAAAGCTTTTTAGTTAATTTCATAATACTGTGCTTATTTTACCCTAACATATTTATTTGATACAATAAAAATAGTAGAAAACACAGTTTTTGCACCCTAAAAGTGCCACAAAAAAAGTTATAAACAAGTTGGAGTTGCACGCACTTAAAGGCATTGCCCTTTGTAACGCTTTGCTGGTTTCAAAAATTTACTAATTAATGCACGATTTTTTCTAAGGATAAGATCCTGTCTAAGCAGTGATTCCATGCACTGCATACAGCACTCTGAGACACATTTAGTGACATAACGATTTCTACAAACCTTCCTGTTTTCAACGCACTAACTGTTTAGTTAAACTTTCAAGTTGTCTTAAAGACATATTACTAAACCAAATTTTATTATTTTATTAACTATTTATTAACTAAACTAAGTTTTATTGGATCGCTAAAACTTATATATTATATACAATATTTATTATATTTTTAACCAGATTTTGATTTACTGAAAAGTAAAAAAAAAACAAGAAAGAAAAAGTAGCGTGTACAAAGCATTGGCTATAAATTTTTGTTCAAGGCATGTATAGTACCCATTACAATTAAATCAGAATATATTGTTTTTAACAAAATTACGAAGAAATAACATATCCACTTAAATTATTAAGCAGTGTAAATGAAGAAACGTTTATCATTTTGCAACTTGAGTTAAGATTTAAAAAGTCTTGCAACACGTGTCTCTCTCACACGTTTATTGTGCCGATAAAATATTAGGGAAACACAAATAGACAATCACTTTTTACAGAACATGAAAATAAACGTTATTTGGACTTTATTTTTATTAAAAAAGCTGAATATTTATTAATTTCTACAAATCAAGAAACATAAATTTTTCGTTATTTTTAAGTAGTTTCAGTGTAGCATGTCGTTATAATCTACATAAGATGTAAGTAATCGAGTAAAGTTCTTCTCGCGGTCTTTTTTCGGAGCCCCATTTCTCTCCAATACATGAACTAGATAACGACAAAAAATTAGATCTCCGTAATTATTTCTCTTTAGAAACGGTATGGACACTACAGAAGCTCTTCTTCTTCTAGTGCCGTCTCCACTAATGAAGGTTGACTATAACCATTGCAAATTCGTCTCTATCTTCTGCTTTTCTTAAGAGCGTCTGTGTGTTTAACTCGGCACAGTCGCAAATGTTTTTCAGCGAGGATATTTGTGGTCTACCAGGACCCCTTTTTCCTTCAATTTTTCCCTTCATAATCAGCTACAACAACTCGTACTTATCATTTCTAAGTATGTGCCCCAAATATGCTGTCGTTCGCCTTTTAATGGAGGTCAAAAGTTCTCTGTCTCTTCCCATTCTGTGCAACATTATTTTGTTCGTAATATGATCGGTCTATGGTATCTTCAAAATTCTCCTAGAAATCCACATCTAAAAAGCTTCCAGTTTTCTCATTAAGTCAACATTAACAGTCCAGGCTTTGACACCATAAAGAAGAATAGAATGGATATAACATTTTACCATCCGATATCGGATTTGCAGATTGAGTCTTTGGTTACTCAGAAATTTCCTCATTTTCAAAAAGGCTGCTCTTGATTGCTCTATTCTTGAGCAAATTTTTGATTTAGGATTCAGATGATCTTCCGTAA